CATAAAAGGATAAATTGGAAATAATCAACAGAGGGAATTAAGAGGGATCAAGAAAGGCTTCTTGTAGTAGGTGGGATTTTAGGCGGCGCTATAAGAAATGATGAGCAGGCAGATATCAGAGAAACCTGGACAGACTTACACGAACTAATGTAAAGTGAAGTGAGCAGAACCAGGAGAACATTGTACACAGTAACAGCCACATTGTGGGATGACTAACTTTGATACACTTAGCTCTTCTCAGCAATGCAAGGATCTAAGACATCTCCTAAAGTCGAAAATGCTATCCACATCCAAAGAAAGAACTATGGATTCTCAATGCAGATCGAAGCATACTATTTGCTCTCTTTTTCTTCTGTTTTGTTTTGTTTCCTCTTCGCTGTGGCTCCTTCTATTGGTTCTAATTCTTCCTTACAACACGACTAATGTGAAAATATGTTTTTAAAAAAGACTAGAAAAGTAGGAAAGGGCCAGATGATGAAGGATTTTGAAAGCCAAAAAGAAGGTTTTATATTTGATTCTAGAGGTGATGTGGAGCCACTTGAGTTTATTGAATAGGGAGGTGACATGGTCAGACTTGCACTTTAGGAAGATCAGTTTGGCAGTTGAATGGAGCATGGATTACCGTGGGGAGAGACTTAGAACAGCAGACCAATGAGGAGACTATTGCAATACTACAGGCGTGAACTGATGAGGACCTGGGCAGTATCAGAGGGGAGAAGAGTGTATAGAGTGAAGACTCCTTCACTCAAGCAAAAGCTTAATGACCACGCTTAGGGCATGTTGTAGAGGGGACTTTAGTTCAGGTTGAACCTGAAAGCCTCTGAGGTTCCTTCCAATTCAGAGATTCTCCTTTGTAACATTTATCAATCTGTCACAAAAATCATGTACTTTTAGAACTGAAAAGTAGCTTAGAGATCATTTAAGCCAACAACTTTCTTTTCCCCTCCCTTCCTCCTTCCACTAATGAAGAAACAGGCTCAGAAAATTGAAGTGACTTGCTCATAAACACATAAAGAATTAGGACTAGAGTCAAGTATGGAACCTGGGTCTCCTAACAGCCAGTCCAGCATACCTGTGTCATTCCCATCTGATTCTGGCTATCCCCAGGTTGGGTACAAGTAGGAGGAGGCAGAGACTATTTGCAGATCCTGTGACCTAGAGTGATGTGGATCTCCTCAGAGAAGGCAGAACAGCACCAGGGTAAGTGGCAGAATTTGGTTCTGGCACAAGATGGCATTTGGGCCTGGGGCCTCAAGGAAAGTGTCAGACCTGACTCTTCACTGTTTACATGTCCCACCATAACTGCTTATTCTAGCCAGAAGTCACCCAATGACGTAATCCATACAGTCCCTTCCTACTCAAATCTATGATGTCAAGCCTGGCTACTTTTTAAAGTGGACCAAATAAATGTTTGTTGAATGAAAGCTCATTCAACAAACATTTATTAAACACCTACTGAATAAAAGAATTTTAGAGTTGGAAGGTATCTCAACAGCCATCTAGTCTAACACATAAACAAAAAGCAACCCCCATTACAACATTCCTGACAAGTAGTCACCCAGGCCCTCTGCATGAAGACTGGTGATGATGGGTAACTCCTTACTTTCTAAGACAATCCTTTGCACTTAGGATAGCTCTAGTCTTGGGCAGTTTTTCCAAACATTGATCTTCCTTTTTTACAACTTCTACCTATGTCTCTTAGTTCTTCCTTATGGGGTCCTATAGAACAAGTCTAATTCTCTTCCACATAACAGTTCTTCCTATGAAATGAGCTTTGAGATACTTTGCCATCCTGGTCACTCTCCTCTGGACACTCTCCATATTAGTGATGTCAATTATGCTGCCCAACAGCAGAAACTATACTGGTGGGGCTGCTTAATGCCAGTGGACAACCAACCTATTAGTATAAAATGTCAATCAGGTAACACACATTTATTTAGCACCTACTATTTGCTGGGTACTGTGCCATATAAATACAAGAAGAAGATCCCTACTCTCGAGAAGCTTATATTTTAGTTGGGGAAGACAAATTGGGGTTGGGGGTGGTGTGGAAGATGATGGAGAATGTTCAGAGTGCAGCCTACAGAGGAACGAGACATGACTGGCCCAGGCAAATTCCTAAGATGGAGGAGCCATCCAGTCAGAGGAAGAGGTGACAGGGGTGAGGGAGTACTTCCTATGTGTGAAAATTCCGAGGCTGCAAGGATCTTTCAGGATGAAGAGGCTCTTGGAGCATAATAGAAAATGTACAATATTCAGCTTGGGGAGGAATGAAAACCATTCCGTTTTGAGAGCAGAGATTCATATTTGCTTTTGTATCCTCGGCACCCAGCATGGTATTTGGCACGTGTATAATATAATATAATATAATATAATATAATATAATATAATATAATATAATATAATATAATATAATATAATATAATATAATATAATATAATATAATATAATATAATATAATATAATGTAATGTAATGTAATGTAATGTAATGTAATGTAATGTAATGTAATATAATATAATATAATATAATATAATATAATATAATATAATATAATATAATATAATATAATATAATATAATATAATATAATATAATATAATATAATATGTAATATAATGTAATGTAATGTAATATAATGTAATATAACACAATATATCATTATATATAATATAGTATAGTATAACATTATTAAATGATATAATATAATATAATATGATAGGATAGGATAGGATAGGATAGGATAGGATAGGATAGGATAGGATAGGATAGGATAGGATAGGATAGGATAGAACAGGATATAATATGATATAATACAATATAATTTAATGTTGGTTGAGTAGAACTGAAAGCAAGCCAGGAAAGAACCCCAAACTTTTCTTGTTTCCTGTCAGTGCTATAAGATTATTAGCCTTAGCACCTTCTCCTTTTTGTCCCATGACTTTTCTTCTATGTATAATATATATTCTTACCACTTGAAACCTGTACAGATCAAAAGATTGGTGGGAAGAAAGTGTTCTACAATCTGAGATAATGTCTTTGAACACTTTGAACGGGGGCCATTAAGTTCCTCATTAGTCTTTGCCAATATCTTCCCTCTCCAACTCCTCTCTAATTTATGCTACTCTGCATTCAGATAAGACTTATGTTGTTTTAGCCCTTCCTGGACTTCCATTTCTATCTTTGGCATGATTCCTATTCCACTTGGATCAGTCAGTTTTTCCCCAGATCAAAACTTGCTCTCTGAGAGCTCTCCCATGCAAGCCAACTTCTTCCAGGTAAATCCTTCAGAATCACTGCCCTTCCTGGATCAAATTATCCCAAAGAAGTAGAAAGTGAATTTAGATCCCCATTGGCTACTTACTGAAGGACATTGCAATTATGTCAGTGATTATTATACGGAATAGAAGCAGACCAAATGAGAGGTCAGGAACTGGACAGCTGTTTAGTTCCTACTAAATGTCAGCTAAATATAAATGCGCCATTTACTGGGTGTCCTCCCATTTGAATTAAACTGGATTAGATTTCTACCCATCAAAATAATTAAGCTTAATGATGAGCACATTCCAGCTGGGACCAGAAAGAAGCAAAGAAGTTCTCTGAGTTAGATGTTTTTGAATCATCATATCATAGATATGGAGATGGTCAAGGCCAGTCCTTTCATTTGACAGATGAGGATTTGAGATCAAAAGGATGAAATGACTTGTCCAAGATCATACAGCTCATTAGAGGGAGATTGAAGACTAAAACTCTGTTTGCCTGCTACCAATGCCAGCACTGGAATGGGAATTCCTTGAGGTCAGATATCATATTGTTGTCTTTCTTTGTATCTATCCCCAGCACTGAGCACAGTCCTGGCACATAGTAAGCACTTAATAAATGTTTGTTGACTGACTTGTTGTTAAGCAACACAGGTAGGTAGCTAGCTAGCTAGGGCACAAGAAACACTTTTTTATTATAATCTTTTAATTGTAAATATACACTTAAAATAAATGCATTTTAAAATTGAATTAGCTTTTATTTCGGGCTACCATGTCACATTGCTGACACATTGAGTTGATGGTCCACTTCAGCTAGGTACACGCTGGATAGCATGCTGGACCTAGAGTCAGGAAGACCTGAGTTCAGATCGAGCTTTAGACACTTTACTAGCTGTGTGACTCTGGGACAGTCACTTCACCTCCATCTGCCTCAGTTTTTTCATCTGTAAGGTGGTGAGAACTGCACCTACCTTCCAGGGTTATTGTGAGGATAAAATGAGGGGAAATATATATATATATATATATATATATTATATATATATATATATATATATATATATATATATATATATGTATATACATATATATATATCACTTTGCAAACCTTTAAGTGATATATAAATGCTAGTTATTATTGTTGTTGTTATTATCATAAACCTCAGATTTTTTTTCACACAAGCTGTTGTCTAGCCTCACTCTATTCTTCACTTTTGAAGTTGTTTTTTTTTAAAGCTAAGTTTTGTATTTTTCACTTATCCACATTAATTCCGCGATTTGACCGATCATTTCCTGGCTATCTGTGTTCATGTTTTATTCCCTTACTGAACCATAGGTTCCATAAAAGCAGGGGCCATTTCTTAACATTCTATTATTTGTGATAAGTTAAGTTGAATCTGTCATAGGGAAGGTTCTAAGTCCACATTAGATGGGAATGCACAGAAGATTAAATTTTCCAACTTTCCCTGGGACACACAAATGGCTCATACTGGCTCTGACTTCCATTCCCAGCCTTTGCATTACCACATGCCACATTGAAATTCACCTTGGTTAGTGGTGTCCAGAAAGATACTCATAATCTTTTTCTTGTCACATTATGGTTTATGATGCTTGTTACTGCTCCCAAAGGATGAGGAGTCACCCTCACAAGTTAGTTTGAGGTTTCGGTGACTTTGTTCTCTAACCAGAGATTGAGGACAGCAGAGAAGAATTGGCTAAAAGATGATTTAGAAATGTCTGCTTACCTCTTTTGCTCAATCTCAGAAAACATTCACTGAACACCTACTATATGAAGGCACTGTGTGGGTGCTGTAGGCCAGACAACAGTGAAAAGTGTATCAGAAGAGGTGATGTCATAAAGGGGAAAGTGCTGTATTCAGTTGGGAGACCTGGGTTTGAATCCTACTTCTGACACTAGTATGACCATAGAGAAAGAATATAACCTTTCTGAGCCTCAGTTTCCTCATCTTTAAAATGAGGTTGACTTTACACTACCTACCTCACATCATTATAAAGAAATAATTTTTAAATCTTCAGAGGCAATAGTGAGCTCATTCTTATTTTTTTAAGGCCATTGGGGTTAAATGACTTGCCCAGGGTCACACAGCTAGTAAGCGTCAAGTATTTGGTCTGAGGTCACATTTGAACTCAGGTCCTCCTGACTTCAGGGCCGGTGCTCTATCCACTGTGCTACCGGATAGAGCACCGGCTACCTAGCTGCCCCTGAGCTCATTCTTATTACAACATAGCCCCTACCATGGAGGGGATGAACAATCCATTAAACGGTATAAGATAGCTAATGCAAGGCATGATGTGAGAAACATAAAATGCTATGGGAACTTCAGGGCAGAGAGAAAACTTTTCTGTCAGAGGGCATTATGGAAAGCTTGTGGACTTAATGCAGCCTAAGTTCTCACTGATGTTCTTATTTGTCACATTATTACATAGTCCATTCATATTGACCTTCCACTTTACTAAGACCCCAAGGTCTCTGTTGTCTGGCCACACACATCCCATCTTGTGCTTATGAAGCTGATTTTTTTAACCAAACATAGTATTTTACCTTTAGGGGATAATCTTTGAGGAAGTCCTGAATTGTGGAAATGATTTTGAAAGGCAGTGATAAGGTTAAGGACATTCTGGGCTGATGGAACAGCCAGAAGGGGAATCTGCTGTTCACTTAAGGAGGATATGATTCCTTGATAATGGATCAGTATTTGAAAATATCAAACCAGTTCCTGAGTTGATATTCTGCATTGTATTCCATCTTGATCAGATCAAATCTCAAGTATTGTGTTCAATTCTGGGCACCAACTGTTGGTACATTTATTCTTTCCGTATCTTTGAAGTAAATGTTGTTCAGTTATTTTTCAGTACAACTCTTGGTGACACTATTTGGGGTTTTCTGAAAAAGATATTGGAGTAGTTTGCCATTTCCCTCTCTAGTTCATTTTTACAGATGAAGAAACTGAGGCAAACGGGGTTAAATGACTTGCCCAGTGTCAGATAGCTAGTAAGTGTCTGAGTCCAGATTTGAACTCAGAAAGATGACTAATGACTCCAGGCCCAGCACTCTATCCACTGTGCCACCTAGCTGATGTTAAGTGGCTAAATAGAACTGGTGTGACAGTCACACTGGCCCCTAAAAATGGGGGAAACACAACTGGTCAGGGTTTGAACCAGTGGCAATAGAGAAGAAACACTCCACAGTGTTTCTCAGTGAGTCCACTGAGGGACAAAGAGCAGAGTGCAGCTGATCTATGTGGGGTCTCATCTGGGATAAGACTGGGCCTTTATATTTGTGTGGACCTCCAGATATATTCTCTCCCTAGGACTTGCATTTGTGGAGACCTTCACTTGTGGGAACCTAGAGAAATTGGCAAAATTCCTTTAGGCCATAACGGTATAGGAAGGTTATCCAGTGTGTGTTCCTTTGCCAGTCAGTTCCATTGGAGATGATTTTGCAGACGTTTTCATCTGTTGATTCAATGACTGTTTAAAATATTAATACTGATGTTATATTACTGAATACTTACTGATATTGAGTCTCATATGAAAAGCATGAAGTTTGCACTAATAAAGTGATAAAGCTTAATTGAGAAATGTTCATATTTTCATGTTGCATTTAAACAGACCTAGATTGATTCCCTTATTGTTAAGATCCTTATGCCTTGCAACTTCACAGGATAAGGTTTTCTTATGTACCTGGAAATCCTAAATAATTACCTTTTAGTACTTTGCTTCTTTTCTTGAGAACCTCTCCCATATTTCGGGTTTATTTGGCCTTGTTTTGCTATTTTATCTAACTGATCCCCACTGTCCTATTTCTGGGTGAGTCTGGGATTCTATTTGAAATTCCCTTGTGGTGACAGGGATCCACAGCGGGGAATATTAGGTAGCCTTTAGAATAAGTATGCAGAGGAATGGTGCCTAGACCTCTAAGTGGATCACCTAATGGTACAGGTACTCCTAACAAAATTTTGGTGTGCTCTGTGTAGAAAGGAACACTTAGAAAATGTATCCATCCCCTGTCCAGTTGGATGGCCCTCCACACCGAAGAATTGTGGAAGAGTTTTCATCCAGGACAGCTGGTTTTTAATCAGAGGGTGATCAGATGACTTCCATCTACCCTAGGCCCCTTAATCTCCACAAGGCCAGTTCCTCAGACAGTGCTCTGATATTATAATAGGGGACCAGCTTTCCTGAGACAGGAAGCTTCATTTTCTTTTTCTTTGGCAGTTCCTCAATGATTATCATTTTGTGAGTGTGGGTTCAGAGGAAATGCAGGGGTCCCATCAGAAAAAAAGAGTAAAGTCCCTCAGCCTAATAGGACTCAGAGCTGGGTTGCAGGCACCAAATTAGATCAGTTTGGTTTCTTGCCTGAGAGTGAAAGGGTGATTTCTATTTGTCCCTAACACCAAAAATTCCTTCAGGGAGAACTCCATACAGGCTAGGAAACTCTCTGGGGGCTATATTTCCTTCTGGATGATAATTTTTTGGCCTTTTATTTTATTTTTTGAATTTGGGTCACATACTTATGGAGTACTAAGCAAGCAGAAATCTTTGGTAAATTTTGTAAAATCTGCATAAATTTGTAACTGTAGATAATTATGATTTTAACCTGTACAATTCTCTGTCATACTGTTTTGAACTCCTTTCCTATATGGCACTGGGAAAACAAGTGAAAGAATGTTTGTGTCTCCCCATGCACTGTTCTGAACTGAGGTCAAGGAAGCGTGTTCAAAATGCACCCCTGCCTATTTTCCCGAGTACAAGAAAATTTTCAGTCAAGGGGAAGTGTGTAACAGGTGTCTCTCACATGTGCAAGTGACTCAGATAACATCCCTCCACATGGAAAGGCTGGGAGCCTACTTCTGGGACAGTTGCGATGATGTTTAAGGGAAGTCAGTACCTTAGAGAAACATTAGAACATGTGTGAACATTCTGTAAATGTTTCTGGTCTGCCAGCCCTATGGTCAATAGGAGTCACTTTAATTGGTTTTAAGGGCATTAAAAAGGTCTTAATCAGCTTCTGCCATCATTCTTGCCTCAGTCATTTTGGATATTCCTCATTCTATGACTCTTTCAATCATGGTGTCAAGTGAAAGACCATATAATAAGGGGAGTGACCTTGGTGCTTCTCCTCTTTAAGGCCAAATGGCCTTTAAAAATGGGCTTCAGTCCTTGGCTTCTATGATCGCTCTTTTCTATTTTAGATGGTGAGATTGGAACCTCAGGCCTTTTTTTTTTTTTGAGTTTTGAAAGGTTAGCAGGGTGCTCCAATGCCTCAGTGCCCCAATGCCCCAACATGCAGGATAAGTTTTAAAGCCAACCAAGAATTAATACCCCAAGAAAAAAGAAGTGGCCTTCTGGATGACTTAACCCAATGGTAGCCAAAACAAGTACTGGCAAAGATATTATCTTTGGACATGAACTTAGTAGAACTAATGCTATATAGGAACTGAACTAGTCTAAGCCTATTCCCTACCCACCCTCCCCTCAGGTGGCGTAAGGGAGAGAATGCCCCAAAAGTATTGGGAGAAATGTCTATACATTTGTTCTTATATCTTTAAAGTAAATATCTCTTTGTTAAAAAAAAAAACTAGTTAATGTTAAGTGGTTAAATGGATCTGAGGCATCAGTCACCAGCCCCTAACAATGGAAGGAACCCAGACGATGGGGACCTGAGCTGGTGGCAACAGAGAAAAGACACTACATGCTAAAGGGCAGATGTAGCCCTCCTGGCTCTAGGAGACAGAACAGAATGTATTCAGTCCATATGCAGGAGCCCAGCTAGGGATCTGTGCTTGATTTACAAATATAAGAGGGATACATATCATCTTAGTTCACTCCAGAAATTGCCACAGCTTTTGAAGATTTTCTTAACATCAGCTGAAAAGACAAAGTTCCCAAATTATGAAAAAAGTTGGGGATAAAATCATCCTGCCTGCTTTAAAGGCATGTTTGTGACCACAGAACCATACTTAGCTGCTCCAGAGACAAGAAAACTTGAAATCAATGCACACAAGCTTAGATAGATAGATAGATAGATAGATAGATAGATAGATAGATAGATAGATAGACAGACAGATAGATAGATGTAGGACTGATGGAGGAGTGCAGTACAGTGGAAAGGGTGCTGGATTTGGAGTCTGAGGGCTTGGGTTCAAATCTCAGCTCTGCACCCAGGTGTTACTACCTTGCTCCCTTGGATAAGTGATTTAATATTTCTGGACCTATGACTCCTCATCTGTAAAATGAGAGGGTTGGATTAGAGTCCCTTCCAACTCAAGATCTATGATTTTATGGTGCTATGACCTGGAGAGAGCATGGGGTAGTAGAGAGAGAAAATGCTAAACACAGAAGCAGGAGACATGGGTTAGATTCATGCTTTACCACTTGCCATCTGTGTGCTGTGGGCAAATCACCTATTCTTTGTGCCTCGATTTCCTAACTGTAAAATGGAGGTTTTGATAATGTGCGGTTTCAACCACAGGGGCTTGTTGTGGGGAAAGTATTTTTTAAATGGTTCATCATTGAAGCTGTTCTCAATTTTTAAACCAGCTGGAAAATTAAATCAATTAGCTGGGTGGTTCTGGTGATTCTGCCTAAATTATTAGTGAACATCTCGGATTTCTTACCTTTGTTCTGTACAGATAGAAGGCAGGGTAGAATTTGGAGTTAAAGTCATTAATAGCTTTGAGTCGGTAAAAAGAACAGAGATGAGGAGCACCAGATAATATGAGTATAACAGAAGGAGCATTGGATTCAGGGATCAGAGAACTGATTTCTTTTTTTTTTTTAATTTTTTTTTTTATTT